TCCTAACAACTCAAATACTAACAGCACAAAGTCCTCTTTCTCAACAATTCCTCCCCTAAACTGAACTGCTAATAGCATTCAGTTTACTTCTGCAGTTGATCGAACTCCAAGCAACTCACGGAGTTTTTCAAAGGTTTCCAACTTCAATGGTTTGGTCATAATATCTGCAACTTGTTCATTAGTACCACAATATTTTAGCTCCACAACACCATCTCTTGTGAGATTCCGCAAAAAATGAAACCGCACATCAATGTGCTTGCTTCTACCGTGCATAATAGGATTTCTTGATAACTTAATCGTAGAACTATTATCACAAAATACTGAAATGCACTTACAATGAGAGTGACCGAGCTGATAAAGAATCCTTTTCATCCAGACACCTTGGCATGAACAGGCAGCAGCTGCAACGAACTCAGCTTCGGTTGTAGACAATGTTACAACAGGCTGTTTCCTTGAACTCCATGATACAGCTCCTTCACACATCAGAAAGACATATCCTGACGTACTCTTTCTATCATCTGTGTCACCGGCATAATCACTGTCGGTGTAGGCAAGCAAAACATCATCTGCTCCTCTCTTGTAAAACACCCCCATATTCAAGGTCCCTTTTAAGTACCGAAGTGCCCTTTTTGCAGCTAACATATGTGCCTCTTTAGGTTTAGCCATGTATCTACTTACCAGGCATACAACATACATCATGTCTGGTCTGGTAGCCGTTAGATACATGAGGCTACCAACCATTTGCTTAAACAAATTAGCATCTACATCAGCACCTCCAGCTTCTTTCGACAACTTAGTCCCTGGAACAATAGGATTTCTAACTGAATTGCAGCTTCCCATTCCAAACCTGTCAAGTACTTCCCTGGCATACTTTTTCTGACACAGGTGAATGCCTTCAGAGCTTTGCTGTATCTCAACACCTAGGAAGTATTTCATCTTTCCTAGGTCTGTCATGTCGAACTCCAGCTTCATAGAATTTTTGAATTTCTCACACATGCCAACATCATTCCCTGTATATATCAAATCATCAACATAGAGACTTACCACTAAGATTTTACCTCCTTCTTCGGTCTTGATAAACAAAGTAGGCTCATAACTACATCTCACAAATCCTTCCTTGATAAAATAACCCTCTATCCGGCTGTACCAGGCCCTAGGTGCCTGCTTTAATCCGTATAGAGCCTTTTTAAGCCTGTAAACTTTGTCTTCCTCACCTTCTTGCACATATCCCTGTGGTTGCTCTATAAATACGGTTTCACTGAGCTCACCGTGCAAAAATGCACTTTTCACGTCCAACTGAAACACCGTCCAACCCTTTTGTGCAGCCATGGCCAAAACCATACGTATAGTATCCCATCGTGCCACCGGAGCAAATACTTCATTATAGTCTATTCCATGCTTTTGTGCGTAGCCTTTTGCGACCAAGCGAGCTTTACATTTGTCAATCTCCCCACTTTCATTAAGCTTAGTCTTATACACCCACTTGACACCGATTTTTTTTGCTCCAACAGGTAGATTCACCAATTCCCAGGTTTCATTCTTTACTATGGCTTCAATCTCCAAGTCCATTGCATTCCTCCACTTCTCACTCCTTGCAGCCTCTTCGTAAGAGGTTGGATCTTCATGTGATATGTACAACACTAAATTCTGCACATCTTCCCCTTCAGACAAACCTTCCCCACTAGTATAATCTTGCATCCAGACTGGTGCTCTTCTATTCCTTTCTCCAAGTGAATCTGGTGTGCTTCCTTCTGATGTACTTGAACCACTTCCTTCAGGTGAATCACTCCCTTCATTTAAGTCGCTGAAGGCAGCTGCTTCTTCTTGGTGACCAGCTGCTTCTTCTTGGTGACCCTCATCTCTGTCTTCATCGGTTTCATCAGAATCACTCGGTAAATAGTCATCATCTCCCCAATCAAGCTTGACCTCTTCATTATTCCTTCCCCAATCCCAGCCTTCATTTTCTTCGAATACCACATCTCTGCTTGTTACAATTTTTTTGGCAATGGGATCGTAGAGTCTGTAGGCCTTGGATTCTTCACTAATACCAAGAAGCACACATTTGTAACTCTTATAGTCCAGCTTCAATCTCTTGTTATCTGGTATGTGTACATGGCCGATACACCCAAATACTCTAAAGTACTCCACATTTGGCTTGATTCCACTCCAGCTTTCTTCAGATGTCTTGTCTTTCAATGCTGAAGTAGGGCTCCTATTCAACACATGCACAGTCCATCGAACTGCTTCTGGCCAAAATGTCTTTGGCATCTCCTTCTCTGTAAGTAAGCATCTCACCATATTCATAATGGTTCGATTCTTACGCTCAGCTACCCCGTTCTGTTGAGGGGTGTAAGCTGCTGTAAGTTGTCTCTTAATGCCATGAACCTTACAAAATTCTTTGAACTCCAGTGAAGTGAATTCACCACCTCTGTCAGTTCTTAGGCAACATATACAACTCCCTATCTCCTTTTCAACAAGACTTTTAAAACTCTTAAACATTGTCAATGCTTCACACTTTTCAGCTAGGAAATAAATCCAAGTTTTCCTACTAAAGTCATCAATGAAGCATAAAGTGTACCTCTTGTTGCTATTCGATATCGGTGTAATGGGGCCACAAATATCGGCATGTATCAATTGCAGACTTCGTGATGCTCTCCACTGACTTTTCTTTGGCATTGCTTCTCGATGCTGTTTTCCCATATTGCAAACAGTACATACAGTGTTTGCAGCTTTGAGTTGAGGCAAGCCTTTCACTAGTTGCTTGTACTGTAAGGTTCTAAGGCTTTTGTTATTCAGATGACCATATCTTCGATGCCACAGATCAGTGATGTTGTCAGCAGCTGCTTGGAAACATGTTGATGACTGAGGTACCACTTTTGCCAACAATACAAACATTCTGTTTGTTGACATTCTTGTTTGCATTATGAGCCCTCTCCTAGGATGATAGATCTTACACACTCCTTTTTGTATCAGGATAGTCAACTCCTTTTCTTGCAACTGACCGATGCTAAGTAAGTTGTTTTTCAAATCAGGAATATAGAAGACATCTGTTATTACCAGAGTTATTCCCCCAACTTCCAGCTTGATGTTTCCTCTTCCCATCACTGGCATCATTGAGTCATCTCCTAGCTTCACCGAGTGCCTGAAATGCTCATCAAAATCAAGAAACCACTGCTTGTTGCCTGACATGTGGTTTGAGCATCCAGAATCAAGGAACCATATTCCTTCTCGGCTTGTGGTATGAAGCTCTACATAGGACATTAGCAGCAGCTCCTCCTTTTCGTCCAACTCAGCATAATTAACCCTGTTGTTCAAGCTAGGGCATTCGTATTGGAAATGCCCCAACTTATGACATTTGTAACACTCAATCAAAGCTTTATCAAAGCTTTGTCTTCCTCGACCTCGTCCTCTCCCTCTATGGTCACCTCTTCCTCTGCCTCTTGCTTCAACTCTATTCTCAGAGGTGATCTGCAGTGCCTGTTCTTCACTGTGCTGTCCATTCATTCTCTGCTCGTGCACCAAGAGGCTGCTTTGAAGCTCATCTATTGTCAATTTGTCGAGGTCATTTGACTCCTCAATTGAACAGACAACATATTTGAACCTCCTCGTCATTGACCGCAAAATCTTCTCTATGATTATCACTTGTTCCATCTTCTCCCCATGCGCCTTCATCTTGTTCGCAATAGTAAGTGTCCGAGCAAAGTACTCATCCACTTTTTCACTTTCCCTCATCTGTAGCACCTCGAACTCTCTCCGTAACGCTTGCAGTTGGGCTCTTTTGACCCTTGTAGATCCTTGGTATTTCTGTTTCATGGAGTCCCAAATACTCTTAGCCGTGTCTTTGTTGAGTATTGTCTCCATTATAGTCCGGTCAATAGCCTGAAACAAGTAGTTCTTGACTTTGAGGTCTTTCATCTTTTGATCCTCAATCATCTTGCGCTGAGCCTCGTTTGGTTCCACTCCTTCAGCTGGCACAGTGATTCCTTGATCGACCAAACTCCAGTAATCCTTCGAACGAAGAAGGTTCTCCATCAACATCGACCAATGGTCATAGTAACCATCGAATTTGGGTATGGCCGGCTGAACAAAATTCCCTTCTGCAGCCATAACTCTCTCTCTTTCTGTGCTCTTTCTCTCTTTCTTCTCTCACAATCAAGTCCCAGTAGGGGCTCTGATACCAAAATGTAGAAAAATCAAACTCAAAGCAACAGTATTATCAAACTGTAGAGAATGATTCTTATTCAAACTGAATATAATCTTGGCTCTTATATAGCCATTACATTGAAGCAAAATTGAACAGATGCAGTCCACGATTTACAATCCTAAGATCGTGGTAGATACCTAAAGAAAGGGTCAATACTCTTAACAGATTTCCTAATAAATAGGAGTTATTGACTCAGCAAGAATAAAACAAATCCTAACAACTCAAATACTAACAGCACAAAGTCCTCTTTCTCAACACGTACCAATTCCCTTCTCTCCACCCCCTCTCTCTCTCTCTCTCTCTCTCCATGATTTGACTCTTCCCAAACTCTTACAAAAAGGCTTCACTGCAATCCGGAACCGCATTCCTCTTTCTTGTTCGAATCAAATAATCTTTCTCACTGCTCCACTATAGTCACCGCCATCGTCACCACCACCTCTATAAAAATCCAAAACCACACTACAAAGTACAAACTAAGCTATTTATATAAGCCCAAAACAGATTAATTACAGTTTGCATATACCACCACCATATATATATATATATATATATATATATATATACACTATGACAGTCACAGACCCTTAGGCAGTTAACCTGTTTTGTGATAAACCCATTTGAGACACCATCTTTTACAACAAATCCTCTTGACTTCTTCAACAAAACCATGAAAAAAACCAGAGGTTTAAGGCTTAAACACAAGCTCGTAAAGGTATGTAGATGGTTCACCCATGGAAGAACAAAGCCCAGAACCACCTACGTACGATTGAACCCGTGGAGCTGTACCTCCAGAGCCATGTCGATTCTCTGCAACTGGAGTCGTTACCTGAGAGATGGAGCTAAAGATCTCTGCTTCTCAAAACCCAACTCGGGTTGCATTCGGGTTGACCAAGAACCGGCTGAGACAAAACCGATGAGTGTACCAAAGGGACACTTGGCCGTGTACGTGGGAGAGAATGAAGATGACACGTGTAGAATATTGGTGCCTGTGATATACTTCAATCACCCTCTGTTTGGGGACTTGTTAAAAGAAGCAGAGAAGGTGTACGGGTTCCATCATTCGGGTGGGATCCAGATACCCTGTCGGAAATCCGAATTTGAGAGTGTTAAAATGCGGGTTGCCGTTTCTGCCGGTAACCGCCGTAGATGGTGGAGGATGAGGAATAGTCATTAGATGCCAATTTGGACCACCGAGAGGTCCGTTACTCAGATTTTTTCACCCCTGGTTTTACTTGGTGGTTGGTTTTTGTCCTTTTTGTACTGGTTTGAATATGAATGCGATTTAGCTGTAAATATTGGTTTCTTTATGTTCCAAACCATAATTCTCTGTTTGTCTCCTTTGTTCACTTCTTTATATACAAGTACCTCCTTTTCAAATTTTTTATTTAAATTTTTTCACCTTCCATGAATTAAATATAAATCATGAGTTACAGATTTTTTGGGGACCTATGGGGATGAAAGGAGTGTGATTAAAATAAATAAAATATGATTGTATCACCATGAAGCTATCTACAACTCTAATGTGTAAGGCTAGGGAAAGTGTTTGTTGAACAAAAAATAAAGATTTTTTCTACAGTATTTCTGATTGATTTTTTTTTTCCTAAATATAAAATCATAAAACAAGAAAATTACAATGAAGGTCAAAAATTAAACTTATTTTACGATCATGTACACCTTTTATAAGAGATTCAACGGAAACCTTTTCCAAAATTAGTCAGTTTGGGTTTGAAGTCGGGTTCCGAGTCGAATCTAGGTTTGGGGTTGATTCTGGGTTCCAGGTCAAGTCCAAGTTTGCCGTCTCGTTCGAGTCTCGTTCGAGTCCAAGGTCAAGTCCAAGTTTGGGGGGTAGGGTTGTTAAATGATGTAGACCGCTTGGGTTTGGCTCAGTTTTAGCTTAGTTTGAACTCACTCATATTATAAAGTAAGTCAAATTTGAATAAATTTTTAAGTTCTTTTGATATTTTTGAGCCAAGTCAAAATGAGCTTGAACTATTTGCAAACTGGCTCGTTTTTTCTACTTCTACATAATATACATATAAATTATTATAGATCTTAAGTTTATTTCAGTAAAATTAGCAAAAAATTTAAATTTGTATGTTTTTATTGTGATTTAAAGGTTTTTTATGCTCAAATTTGTGTGCATTTTTTGTGAAAATTTTTAATTAGATATTTGAAATTTATGGATTTAAATTGTTTTTTGAATGACTTGTTTTTGTCTTAAGCTCGACTCAAATTCAGTTTGAGTCGAACTTGAACAATATTTTGAGGTTGATAGGCAAGCCTAAACTAAGCATGAACAATCCTTGAATAGTACAAGCCAAACCTAAGCATAGCCAAACTCAAAAAATTCAGCTCGATTAACACTGCTAAGTGCAAGTTTGAAATCTGCACCTGGGATTAGGTTCGAGGTCAGGGTGGTGGAGGTCAAGTCCGGATGCATAATTCGAGGTCGGATGCAGGTCTGGGGTCTACCGTCCCAATCCGTGTTTGGTGTGAGGTATGTGGTCGTGTTCGAGTCTGAGGTTAGTTATGGGGTGGAGTCCAGGTCTAGTATATTTTTGTATATTACATGTGTATATATTCATTGAAACCATTGAATTAATATCAAGTTTCAAGGTTTAATAAAATCAGCAGTCAATCAAAAGGTCATAGTAAAGACACATCATTATGTCAACAAATTATGTCAGTTTTTTAAGTCCCAACAACATTCCTCAATATTTCATATGGAAATCTACACGCATTAGAGTATGTGTGAGTCATATTTTGCTGTGTGCATAATGGTAAAGAGGCAGATGTCGGAGTGGAGCCCGCGACAGCATCTGCCTTGCGGGATTTATATAAAAGGGACGCTAATTAGTTGGGGGTGCGGGGGCAACGCCCCGCGGTACGGTACAGGGGTATTTTTGTAAATATATCCATATTATGGTTATATAAATACTTAAGATGTAACCTTATTTTATAATGGAAAAGAACGGCCGCTCGCTCTCGTGAATGTAGGCACATTGCCGAACTACGTAAATCTCTATGTGTTATTTTCTCTTGCTTTCCCAATTGTTTGATTCCTTACTATTCACCATAATTACTGCACGATCACAACAATTGGTATCAGAGCTAGACTACGATGTCTGGGATTTTCTCTACAAAATTTGACATCATGAAGTTCGACGGAACTGGGAATTTCGGATTATGGCAGAGAAGGGTGAAGGACCTGTTAGTACAGCAGGGCATGGTGAAGGCATTATACGGAAAACAACCAGCAGGAATGGACGACATGGATTGGAAAGAATTGGAAGCAAAGGCTGTGGCGACTATTAGGCTTTGTCTGGCTGATTAAGTGATGTATCACGTCATGGATGAGGAATCACCGGCGGAAGTTTGGTTGAAACTGGAAAGTCGGTATATATCCAAGTCGTTGACGAACAAGCTCTATCTTAAGCAAAAACTATATGGTCTTAAGATGTCAGAGGGCTCGAATTTGACCCAACACATCAACGTGTTCAATCAGATCATCAGCGATCTGAAGCGAGTTGATGTGAAGTTCGAAGACGAAGACAAGGCGCTGATGTTGCTGAATTCCCTATCGGCGTCTCCTACGTACGAGAATTTGGTTACGACTCTGATGTGGGGGAAAGAAACCCTCGAATTGGAGGATGTCACAGGTGCTCTGTTAGGTTTTCATCAGCGGAAGAAAGTCAGTGATGAGGCTTCACAAGGTGAAGGGCTTGTGGTGAAAGGTAACCAGGAACGTGAAAGAAGCAAATCTCGAAATGGATCGGGTAACAATAAAGCCCGGTCCAAATCGAGGAAGAAGAAGAAGGACGTCTCTGTCTTGTGTTACAAGTGCGGGAAAAAGGGGCACTTTAAACGGGACTGTCCAGAGAAAAAGAAAGGGGATTCAAAGAACAAAGAGGGTGCATCAAAGTCTGCAAACGTAGTGGAAGAAGAAGATTCAGAGAGTGGTGACGGAGATATGCTTTCTGTTTTATCTAGTTCAGATCGTTTAACAAATTCTTGGATTATGGATTCAGCATGTTCCTATCACATGACACCCAACAAAGATTGGTTTGACGCCTACAGGTCAGTAAATTTTGGTTCTGTTCTGATGGGTAATGATGCATCTTGCAAAGTTGTTGGAATAGAAAATATTAGAATTAAGATGTTTGATGATATGGTTAGAACGTTGTGTGATGTTAGACATGTACCGGATCTAAGGAAAAATTTGATTTCATTGGGCACTTTGGATTGTAATGGTTATAGTTACAAATCTATAAGTGGAGTAATGAAAGTAAGTAAAGGCATGCTGACAGTGATGAAGGGACAGAAAGTAGTAGGAAACATTTACAGACTGCTGGGTACTACAATTGTAGGTGGAGTTGCTGCTGTAGAGTCTGAATCAGATAATGTATTTCGTGAGTTTCATTGATGATTACTCACGAAAGGTCTGGGTGTACTTCATGCGGCACAAGTCAGAAGCGTTTGCCAAGTACAAGTTGTGGAAAGCTGAAGTAGAGAACCAGACAGGGAGGAAGATTAAATGCCTCAGGTCAGATAATGGTACTGAGTACACAGATTCAAAGTTCCAGGAGTTGTGTGAGCAGCATGGGATCAAGAGACACTTCACAGTCCGCAAGACACCACAACAAAATGGTGTAGCGGAAAGGATAAACAGAACGATAGCCGAGAAAGCTCGGTGTCTCAGGTTGAATGCAAGGCTTGCAAAGAATTTCTGGGCAGAGGCAGTGAATATGACATGTTTCTTGATTAACAGATCACCGAGGGCAGCACTAGATGGGAAAGTATCAGAGGAGGTGTGAACAGGCAGTGAGATAGACTACTCTGGTTTGAGAGTGTTTGGATGTCCAGCCTATGTACATGTTTCTAGTGAGGAGAGGTCGAAGATTGATGCAAAGTCTAGACAGTGTATCTTTCTGGGATATCAGAAAGGAGTGAAAGGTTTCAAGCTCTGGGATCCGAAGGCAAACAAGATGGTGATCAGTAGAGATGTGGTTTTTGATGAAAAAGTCATGTTGCAGCGTACTCAAGAAGAAGAGAAACAAGTACTAGAAAACTGTAGCACTAATAACCATGTGGTGCAGGTGGAGCTAGAGAATCATGGTAGAGAAGAGGATGCTCAGTATGTAGAGCGTTCTATCTCAAGTGATCAACAACATTATAGTATAGCCACAGATAGGCCCAAACGCAATATCAAGCCACCTACTAGGTATGATTTTGAATATTTGGTTTCTTATGCGCTTATTACTAGTAATGGGGATCCTACAACTTTTCAGGAGGCAGTACAAAGCCAAGAGAAAAGTAGATGGATGGGTGCTATGGTGGAGGAGATGGAGTCTCTGCATAAGAACCAGACGTGGGAGTTGGTGGAACTTCCCGAGGGGAAGAGAGCAATAGGGTGCAAATGGGTGTATAAGAAGAAAGAAGTAGTATCAGAAAATGAGGGAGAAAAATTCAAGGCTCGTCTAGTAGCAAAGGGTTACTCACAGAGAAAAGGGGTTGACTATGATGAGATCTTCTCCCCCGTGGTCAGACACACTTCCATCAGGATAGTGTTGGCACTAGTAGCACATTCAGATATGCAGTTGGAACAGATGGATGTAAAGACAGCTTTCCTTCATGGCGACTTGGAGGAACGGATTTACATGGTACAGCCAGAAGGGTTCAGTCTCCCTGGAGAGGAACATTTGGTCTGTAATTTGAAGAAATCACTTTATGGGCTGAAACAGTCTCCGAGGCAGTGGTACAAATGATTTGACTCTTACATGATCCGAATTGGCTACAAAAGGTGTGAGTATGATTGCTGTGTCTATGTAAAAGGGCTTGATGATGATTTATTTATTTTTCTGTTACTTTATGTGGATGATATGTTGATTGCTGCCAAGAGTATGAGTGAGGTCAACAAGTTGAAGACTTTGTTGAGTAGAGAATTTGACATGAAGGATTTGGGTGCGGCCAAGAAGATTCTTGGGATGAAGATTCGCAAGGACAGAGCTTCCAGGAGATTATGACTATCTCAGCATAGCTACGTTGAGAAGGTGTTGGACAGGTTCAGCATGAGTTATGCAAAATCAGTAAGTACAACTTTGGCGAATCATTTCAGATTGTCTACCGCTCAGTGCCCGAAGACAGATGATGAAGTTCATGACATGTCAAAGGTCC